AAACAAGTGGCAAATAGATGTGCTATTGTAATGTATAGTTAGAATTATGCACAATAAGTGCGCACCTCCGTCTAAATCTTCTGAGAATAAAAAGGGTTTATGTAAATAAGTTGCACATTGAATGTGCACCTCCACCTTAATCTTCTGAGAATAAAAAGGGTTTATGTAACTATGTACCTATCTAATTCTAATAATAGCATCTGTGAGAAATAAGTAGGTAGTGGTTGCGGCCACCGTAAGCGCGGGCCTGCGGGCGGCGAGCATGGGTGGCTCCCCGTCCGACCAGAAACAGACCCGAGCGTACGGCGCGTCGCGTTCCGCGCGCGCCTCAAAGAGCCATCAGACCACCACAGATGGGGCCCAATACGGCCGATGCCGATTCGGAGTCGTGGAGAACCTAACGGGTAACCGGGGCTCCGGCTCGACGTGCAGGAGAAGGAACGGGGTGGTTTTTAGTCAGTAAGAGTCTGACACTCCCTCCCGCCTCACCCAGGCGGGAGCAGTCATTCGATGATTTTCCCCCCTTAAAAAAAAAAAGTGGTACATTATGGTAACGTAGGTATATGGAATTCTCAAATCAAATTTTAGTACAGTGCATAATATCTGCTCCTATCTATCGTTGATCGTAGCTACGCAAAACAGTTTCGTTATATCATATTTTTATTTATTCACTTCACTTAATATTATGTCATTCAGTTAGGCTCAAAGTACATAATGTATTTATACTTTTTTATAAAAAAATATGATGACGTAACTTTAATTGTTATTCTAAATACTCATATATTTGTCATGGGCCCTCTAATTGATAAATTTCCATACGTTTTTAAGACATCAATATCGAAAACAAATATTTGCGCGAATCAAGTGGGTACCTAAATACAAATAGTAGTACGGGGAACTATATTATTATGTAAATTAAGTAAACAATATATATCTACACAGTTCGTTAACCAATATTATAGAGTTTATGAGATTTTCCACAAAAAATCCATTTTTTTTTGTTCGTGTTAATTATACGCCTACGATTGCATTACATTCCAGTAGGCAAGTAAATATGTCATAGTCTACACTGCTGACTAATCAGGTTTTACAAGGCGGCTACCTGATTTAAAACTTGGTGGTAACGTTTGTCAACCTGACTATGACGAAGGAAATATCCTGGTGTACACACGGCCACACATCAACCTATACAAAACCAGTTTATCCTGGTGTCGCGTCGCATCATCTTTCCGCACATTTAACGTTCAGTTTATACTAGTTATGTAAAGCTCGATGTGTAGCCGCGTGTACCTAAATAGCATGAGGACAAGTCAATACAACCTTTAATCATAATTAAGCTACGGTGTGCCTCAAGTTATTTATTAATCATTTTGAAATGGATTTTTTTTGTAAAATAACCCGGTAATCTAGCAGATGGATCACCTGATAGTAAGCAATCGGCGTCGTCTATGGACGCTTGGTACACCAGAGGCGCTATAAGTGCGTTACCGGCCTTTTGAGGATTAGGAATTTGATGATTGTTGGGGATTCAAGGATTGGAGAGATTGAGGAATGAGGGGGCAATTTGGCCTCCGGTAACCTCACTCACACGACGAAATACAATACAAACATCGTTTCACGTCGGTTTTCTGTAAGGTCGTGGTATCAGTCCGGTCAAGCCGGCCCATTCGTGCCAAAGCATGGCTCTCTCACACTTAATTCGATAACGTCACTCACACGACGAAACACAACGCGAGCGATTTCACGGTGATTTACTGTAGGACTGTGATATCACTCCGGTCGACACGATCCATTCGTGTCGAAGTTTGAATCCGCCAAGTAAATATGTTTAATCATCATCAACAGCCGGAAGACGTCCACTGCTGGACAAAGGCCTCCCCCTTAGCCCTCCACGTCGAACGACAACTCGCCACCCGCATCCACTGGCTCCCCGCAACTCTGGCGATGTCGTCGGTCCACCTAGCGGGAGGCCTGCCCACGCTTCGTCTTCCGGTCCGTGGTCTCCACTCAAGGACTTTCCTGGCCCATCTGCCGTCAGTCCTTCGAGCGACGTGGCCTGCCCATTGCCACTTTAGTCTGCAGATTTTGCGAGCTATGTCGGTAACTCTTGTTCTTTGGCGAATTTCCATATTTCGGATTTTGTCGCGCAAAGAAACCCCGAGCATAGCTCTCTCCATCGCACGCTGAGCGACTTTGAGCTTCTCCAGAAGGCCAGAGGTCAGGGACCACGTCTCGGTACCATATGTCATCACCGGCAACACACACTGGTTGAACATCCTGGTCTTTAGGCACTGAGGGATTTTCGATGAGAAGATTTCGCGTAACTTCCCGAACGCTGCCCATCCAAGTTGGATTCTTCGGGCGACCTCTTTGTCGAAATTGGACCTACCTAGCTGTATAATCTGCCCTAAGTATGTATAGTGGTCTACAACTTCGAGGATATCGTTCCCAACGATGACCGGTACAGGTGCAACATGGACGTTTGACATGATTTTGGTCTTGTCCATGTTCATTTTAAGACCCACCTGTTGGGAGACGATATTGAGGTCGCTGAGCATGGTGTTCAGATCCTCCAGCGATTCCGCCATGATGACTACATCATCGGCGAAGCGGAGGTGTGTGATGTATTCGCCATTGATATTGATACCCAGTCCACTCCAGTTTAAAAGCTTGAAAACGTCCTCCAATGCGTTGGTGAACAGTTTCGGAGAAATCACGTCTCCCTGTCTCACGCCTTTCTGCAATTGGATTGGTTCCGTGCTATCTTCCTGGAGTCGGATGCGCATGGTGGCGTTTCTATACAAACACTTTAGCACCTCGATATATCTGTAGTCGATATGGCATCGCTGGAGAGACTGCAGCACCGCCCAGGTCTCGATCGAATCAAAGGCTTTTTCATAGTCCACGAACGCCAAGCATAGTGGCAAGTTATACTCCTCAGTCTTCTGTATAACTTGCCGCAGCGTATGAATGTGGTCTATGGTGCTAAAGCCTTTCCGGAACCCGGCTTGTTCGGGAGGCTGGAAGTCATCAAATCTGCGTTCGAGACGGTTCGTGATGACCCTAGAGAACAGCTTATATACATGGCTCAGAAGCGAGATGGGTCTATAGTTCTTCAACAAGGAGTTGTCACCCTTCTTAAAGAACAAAACCACTACACTCTCTTGCCATGCTTTCGGCGTAGCTCCTTCGAGAATGACGGAATTGAATAGTTTCTGGAGGACTAAAAGTATCGGTTTTCCACCCGCTCGCAGAAGTTCTGTTGTGATTCCGTCATCACCCGGTGCCTTGTTATTTTTGAGCTGTCTGAGAGCCATCCTAATCTCATACAGGCTGATGTCTGGGATATCCTCGGTATAGTGCCGTGTCAGTTTAGCTCTTGGATCCCGAGCTGTACCGACAATGGGTTGCCGTGTCGAGGTGTATAACTGTCCGTAGAACCTTTCAAGCTCTCTCAGAATCTCTGGCTTCGACGAAACGATGCTGCCATTTTCGGTCTTCAGTTTCGTCATTTGGCTTTGCCCAACCGACGAACTCCTTGCGAATACTTTTGCACCCTGATTTCGCTCTATGGCATCCCTGACTCGTGCGGCGTTATATGCACGCAGGTCGCGTCGCATAGACTTTGAAATTCGCCTATTAAGTTTGCCATATCCAGACATGTCAACTGAAGACTGCAGCCTCATCTCGTGACGGTCTTTCAATAATTTCAGTGTTTCTTTCGAGAGCTTTTGAGGTCTATTTCGGCGTGGGTTTTTGAAAAACTCTGAGCCCACCGCTTGGACAGTTTCCACTAACCCATTATTTAACTCGTCAATCGTTTCACACTCAGCCAGGCACTGGAAGCGATTATGCAGTTGGAGCTGGAACTGTTCGGGGTTCTGGACCTGGGCGCGACCAGGACGGAGTGTGGACCCCACCAGGCGTGACCTCTCCAGCTTGACATTGATATTCAGTGTGCCTCTGACAATACGGTGATCGCTGCCGGTTTTCACCTTAGCTATCACAGAGACATCACTAAATATGCGCTTGTCGGTCGCCATGATGAAGTCGATCTCATTTTTGGTGTAACCATCGGGGCTTATCCACGTCCACCTCTTAGCTGGTCGCTTTCGGAAGAAGGAGTTCATTAGAAAGAGTCTCTCCCTCTCCATAAAGTCGACCAGCCGCTGGCCCCGACGGTTTCGCTGCCCATACCCAAATGGCCCCATTCTCAGCTCTTCGCCGTTCCGTGTGCCCACCTTCGCGTTGAAATCCCCCATGACAACGGTGAAGTGAGCTTCGGAGGTGTGTATGGCTTGGGAAATTTCCTCATACAGAGCCTCTACTTCATCATCGCAGTGTGTCGAGGTCGGCGCATATACCTGTATGACCTTCAGCGAATACCGGTGTGATATTCTGAGTATAAGGTACGCTACCCTGCTCGACACACTGTCAACTTTACTCACGTTGTTGACGAGGGACTTGCGGACGAGAAATCCGACACCACCCTGGGATTTTTGATCTCCTTCCCGGAAGAAGAGCAAGTTGCCGGAATCCAGGACCATCGTATCCTGGCCCTCTCTTCGGATTTCAGACAGTCCCAAGATGTCCCAACGCATTTTGCTCAATTCTTCCTCCAGCTCGACAATCTTCTCATCGGTCCGCAGTGTGCGGATGTTATGTGTTGCCAGGGCCAAAGTTCGTCGGGGGTGGTAGCGGTTCATCTGCCGGGGATTCTTAGCACCCCCTGCTCCGCCGTTACCCGATCCGCTACCAAGATCAGGGATAGCGGAGCTGCCGGGGACTGGGGGCCGTGTATTTAGGTTGCCGTTCATAGTGAGGGGGGGGGGGTTTGCCATAATCCCCACGCTTGGCAGGCGGCTTGGGGATCGCAGTTAGGTCACCGATATATTTATGGAATGCTGCAGCCCATTCCTCGGTGTCTGGTCGCAGTTTTAGGACGTACCCGGGTCGAGTCGTACAATATGTTTAATACTATAATATTAATGTATACTTACCAATAACAAATACCAACACCATACAGGCAACAGATTTCCTAGCCTGCGCCTGTGCTTCTCCTTGGCCTCCGTGTAAAGCGCCTGGCATTTCCCTGGTACTGGCCAGTAAGCGCTGTGCCATTAGTGAGTAAAAAAAAGCAATCACCAACAATGGTAGCCCGTAGTATATTAACGCCTTTGCTAATGTCATCCATCTGTAACAAATAGGCAATGTTAATAAAAATATTGGTGGTGGTGGTCGTGGTGGCCCGGAGGTTTAAGACGCCCACTTCTCATGCATGAGGGTGCGGGTTCGAAACCTACCAGCGGCAAGTACCAATGTGACTTTTTCCGAGTTATATGTACTTTCTAAGATTATTTAGACACCACTGACAAACGGTGAAGGAAAAACATCGTGAGGAAACCTGGACTTATAATTTCTAATTATAAGTTTGAAATCGCCAACCCGCATTGAGCAAGCGTGGTGATTAACGCTTTAACCTTCTCCGTGTGAGAAGAGGCTTTGCTCAGCAATGGGCATTTATAAGCTGTTGATGGATGGATGGATGGAATAAAAATATATATGTTAGAGAGTTAAAAATTAACTATACTGCAACTATACTGCAACTATACTGCAACTATACTGCAGCTATACTGCAGCTATACTGCAACTATACTGCAACTATGCTGCTACTATACTGCAACTATACTGCAACTATACTGCAACTATGCTGCAACTATACTGCTATATAAGGTGCAATTTTAGCTATAGGTAATAATAATAACGTTATGTAAATATTTTGATTTAGCTCTTGAGATTCTCGACATGTTGGAAGTAGTATCAGCGATCATTGTGCTGATAGTCGTATCTGTCAATGGGCTCATTACTAAAAGGCTCGACCAACACTTGGGTAGACTAGCGTATGTCAAATATTTAAAAATGTAATAATAAAATTTGAAAATAAATAAAGAAAAATATTCTGCCATAAAGGCTCTACTAATGTATGCATATCAAAATAGCACCTGGGATTTAGATTGAACGACGTATGTATCTATGTTTGTCTTGTTTGTAAAAAAACATATACATACGTACATAACATCACGCCTTTTATCCCCGAAGGGGTAGGCAGAGATGCACATTACGGCAATTAATGCCACTGTTAAATGTAACACCCACTTTCCACTATTTATGTTATGAGCCCCATGTAATAGGGGTGAGCCTATTGCCATATACCGGGCACAATTCCATACTTCGTTCTACTACTGAGTATTTAAAAACTCAATAATACTTTGCCCGACCCGGAAATCGAACCCGAGACCCCTTGCCTGGCAGCCGCACTTGTGACCACTCGGCCAAAAAATCTCATCTCATATTTCACGGCTTGAAAAACCTTCCAGTTAACTGATCTAATCTTCATCTATCCGCTTGGGAACAATAAAAATGATATAGTAATATATCATAACTTTAAAAACAAACTTAATTTGCCCTTGAAAGTTGCCAAAGACGAGAAAATGGCGGCGAATTTTTGTGGTTTCATCAAAATCTTTGTCCGTATTCAAAGTACCGGTATAATAGGTATGGGTGATTGTGAATTTTACTAAGAATTCTTACAAATACATTCATCAATGTGGTCATAATTAATGGTGTCAATGGTATAACCATAATTAAAGGAGCTTTATTAAATCCCCATAGTTCTTTGCGGTTGGTAATTCCACAATCCATAGCAAAAATAAATTGGCATAATTGCACTAATAGTCAAGCCATACGTATCAATTCGATTGGTCTATTTTCCTGTGGACAATTATGTTTTAATAATGTTTAAAACAATGTACCTAATAATATTATTAGTCATGTTCTTCCTTGATGGGGTGTGCTAATTATACATAGCATGTAACATCACGCCTTTTATCCCCGAAGGGGCATTACGGCACTTAACTCTTTCAGTCTTAGTGGTCACTGTAGCTAACCACCTTTTCTTAGAAATTAAATTTTTGAAGTATGCTTCAAATTTGTTTGCATTGGTTTTAAAGCATTTTAGTATAATTCAATAAAATATATTCGTAACCAGTTAAGTGTGAATGTGTCTTACTGTGTCTGTACTTACTCTTAAATCATTTGAAGTTCAAAGTCTTTTTAATTAACACAGATATACACAGATCCTTTATAGTATCTTAATAGAACCTGAACAAGGATAAAAAGTAAAAGAAAAAATCGTCCAAATAGTTTTTATGAGGTCCTCCTTTGAATTAGATTTTCCTGTGTTCATTGGGTTATTCAATTTTGAACTCTCGGCTACAATGTGAAGTCAGGATTCATGTTAAGGATGACCTTTCATTATTTCCTAGTCTTTGTGATCTGGTTCTGGTAATTAATAATCAAGATGAAAGAGGAAGAAGGTCCTAAGTCCCCTTTTATTCTATTTAAAGGTGTGTAGGTACAAAGATTAACTGCTAGTTGGTCGTGTAGTTGCAAACGCGACTATTGAACAAGTAGCAAAATTCTTATCATAAATTACTACATAGTATAAAACAAAGTCGCTATCCGCCGTTTGTCTGTCCCTATGTATGCTTAGATCTTTAAAACTACGCAACGGATTTTGATGCTTTTTTTTAATGGGGGAAAATCATCGGATGACTGCTCCCGCCTAGGTGAGGCGGGAGGGAGTGTCAGACTCTTACTGACTAAAAACCACCCCGTTCCTTCTCCTGCAAATCGAGCCGGAGCCCCGGTGACCCGTTAGGTTCTCCGCGACTCCGAATCGGCATCGGCCCTATTGGGCCCTATCTGTGGTGGTCTGATGGCTCTTTGAGGCGCGCGCGAAACGCAACGCGCCGTACGCTACGTCAAAACATGCATATTGCACCCGTGCAAAGCTGGGGCGGGTCGCTAGTCTATAAATAAAAATGAATTTACGTTCGTTATTTCCGCTAAAACCCGAGGACGGCTGAACCGATTTGGATAATTTTGGTCTTGGAAGGTTTATGGAAGTCCAGGGAACGTTTAAAAGGTTAGTTGGAAAAAACAAATAGGCGGTACGAAGTTTGCCGGTTCAGCTAGTATAATAATAATTCTTTAAAAATAATAATTCTTTAAATTTTGTCCAGTCAATGAAGACTCCCTATTAAGTTAGACTGTGAGACTACTGTGACTTTTTCCGAGTTATCTATATGTAAGATTACCTTTAGACTTTCTAAGATTAGACACCACTAACTAACGGTGAAGGAAAACATCGGGAGCTAACCTGCGCTTATTTCTAATTATAAGTTTTAAATTGCCAACCCACATTGAGCAAGCGTGGTGATTAATGCTTAAACCTTTTCCATGCAAGAAGAGACCTGTGGTTAGCAGTGGCCACTTACAGGCTGGTGATTATGATGATGATTACGTTATACTTAACATCTCTATGTGGTGAAAAGGGAGTGTCACATACATAGTTTGTACCTATTCACCGTTGTGTACCTACTATTTGTTTGGAGGATTTAAAAAGGTAGTTGTTGTTATGTCAAAAAGAGTTTTACGTTATACTTCTTGATCGGATCGGTTGTTCTAAAAATTGTAATAAGTAGAAGTAGGTACCTATTTGCATTAGGTTTACAATCAATCAATTTATTTATTCAGGTAATACAATCCATATGGTTAGTAAAGACATCCACTACTTATAAACTAGTATTAGTACATCAAACCTCATCATATAAAATTAAAATAATTTGTCATACATAATATAATAGTACAGTAACAATACGGGTTTACGGGTTTGATGATTCTTTTCTGAACTACGTTTAAAAATCCGACTTCAATCCTTTCAAACCTTCTCCTTAGTATTTTTAAATAGTGTATCAAAATCTGTTCAGACAATTGCGAGATAATCACGCACAAATATATACATACTCCGTGTTACTGAGACTTTTAAAAACCCAGTAATACTTTGCCCGACCCGGGAGTCGTACCCAAGAACCCTTGCCCGGCAGTTGCACTTGCGATCACTCGGCCAACGAGGCAGTCATAAGTACAGGTCTAGCAGGCTGAGAACCTTCTTTTGTTACTTTTCGAAGTCGGTTATAAACGTTTGATAATTTCAGAATCTACAAAATGTTTTCGTTACTTGACAATATTACTACCCTGTATAACCTAGCCTGGTCAAATCTAACTTAGAACTAAATCTAGGATATGAGAAACCTAGTCATTAACTCAAATAGTACAAATACAGACAGAACAGTCCCAGATTTCATTCATTGCCTAATTCCATTTTGAAATCCCTAGAGGATCAATTGCCTTTGTAGGCAGAGTCCAAATTGCGTTATAAAACTAATAACATTTCGCCTAAAGGATTATCTGAGGCTCAAAACCTCTATTGTTTATTATATTGTTAAACTGAAACGAGGAAAATGTCTCTATTCAATTTATTTCGCTGTTTGTTTTGTTTATAAGATTATTATAATTCAGTGAAATGGTTTGGTGACCACAGGCTTGACGTTATGGGGTCTGATCTTGCCTGTTGGTGTTTTAGATTTGAATTCTTAGTAATGGTAAAGATACTGGATGATGGTTGGTGTTGAATAGAATAATTATAATTCCTAAGAAATGTCAGGAATTTCTGTTAGTTCAATGAGACCAATAAATGAATATTATTTAAAATGTCGTATACTAAACCTACTAAGAGCTATAGATGTTAAAAAGCACTTCTGCATATCTTCTTAGGCTAAGATCGATGTGAAATGTTTGTGAACAAATTACAAAGGTGAGGAAATATCTGGTCGCGATGACATTTTTCTATCCGTCTTTTGGGGGGGGGGGGGATCATCGAATGACTGTCTCAGACTCTTACTGACTGAAATCCACCCCGTTCCTTCTTCTGCACGTCGAGCCGGAGCCCCGGTAACCTGTTAGGTTCTCCGCGACTTTCTGTCCGTCTATCCTTTTGTTGTCATTGAGAACTGGTGCTAGGTATATAGGCTAAGAAGGAGGCTAGGAGTGTGACCAATGACCATACGTAGATTAATTGATAAAAGTAATTCCTAGCTATTTTTAAGGGGGGAAATCATCCAATTAGTTCTCCCGCCTTGAGTGAAGCGAGAGGGAGTGTCAGACTCTTACTGACAACAAACAATACCGTTTTTACTCCTAGTCAAAATTGGCATTTGTTACCAATTTATTATTATCCATAAACAATATTATGCAGTATTGTAACTTTCGTGAGACGTACTAAATAAATCATTGGAACTCGACTAGTTTCAAGCCATGCTAGAGGCATCATGAGCAGCATTTCGCGACCCGCGGCGCGGCGACTGTTGCACTGCTGCTGTTAGAGCTTGAAACTAGTCGAGTTCCTCGTCAAATCATTACGTGAGTAAGCCGAAAACATAATAATTTAATATTATACAGGATTATTACCAAAGAGGTTCGTTGGTACGATTTCATGTTGAGAGCTATCAAAATTGACATATGAGGCTGAATAAATTATGACCTGTGCTTCGGTCATCGAATTTTGACAACAGTTGTGTCGTTTGTTTTGCATACTACAGTGGCGCGAAAATTAAATTCAAGTCAGCTTTTTCATTTTATGAAAATGTGGTGAATTTCAAACATTGTGTTGGATTAAAATATTTTATTATTGTAACAGGATGCGTGTAACATCAGTTTATGTTCCACGGGCAAAACTTTTAATTTTTTAGAGATAATTTAACTCGTCGAGTACCGGTTTTGTAGACACAATTATAGAACAATAGGTTGCGGTCACCGGTGACCGTTAGGTTTTTGACAGCTTAATAGTGTTTTTAAAAAAAATAGGTAGGTATATTGTTACACTCGTTGACCGAGTGGTCGCCAGTGCGACTGCCGGGTAAAGGGTCTCGGGTTCGATTCCCGGGTCGGGCAAAGTATTACTGGGTCTGGAAATGTGCCCGGTGTATGGCAATAGGCTCACCCCCTATTACATGGGACTCGTAACATAAATAGTGAAAAGTGGGTGTTACATTGTACAGTGGCATAATCTACGTCTCTGCCTACCCCTTCGGGGATAAAAGGCGTGATGTTGTGTTATGTTTATTGTTACATTTTTAAAATAATGTATTCTATATTTTGAAATGAAATTCAGAACTGAGCACGAACTAAAACCTTTGTATATAGATACTAAACGATCTTTGAAGACCACTTCGGAGCAAAAAAGCACCAACTTATAATCCTTATCACACTTCCGACGTCACAAACCATCTCCACCCTTAAACCCCAGCTAACGACTAAGATAAAGCCATACAAAATGACACCCTATTCAAATAAGTATAACATTCAATTTTACATGAGTATAAAAAGCAATGATGGCATTAGCATCAAAGTGTCATAGAGAATGAAATTGCTAGAACAGTTATGTCAGGCGTTTCAATTGGTGCGGTTAGAACATTTGCATTAACGCTGCATAATATTCTACATTGCATTTGAAATTAAAATTCTAACGACGATTGCATCGCTTCTAGGGAAATTAGATCTGTTGTACTTTAGAGTTGTCCTGCAGTTCCTACCTAAATAGTTCCCCTAGATAAATAGAAAAAGGTTTTTTAAAAAATTCTCAGTAACAGCACGGAGTCTGGAATTGTATATGGTATATGGCAATAGGCTCACCCCCTATTACATGGGACTATAACATAAATAGTGAAAAGTGGGTGTTACATTGGACAATGGTATAATGTGCACCTCTGCTTACCCCTTCGGAGTTGAAAGGCGTGATGTTATGTTATGTTATGAATAGAAAAAAAACGTCAGTCGAATCGAGTGAATAGAAAAGTCGATTTATGGTTTTACCTTTGTTAAACTTCATTATCAACTCGATTATGTTGAATGTTGCCATTATACCTACCAGCGCCTAATGGCATTAGACTAGTGAAAGTATATTTAAGACCAATTTGGTCAACATCAAAACAAAACACTGTTCTTATATAAATAAAAACATAACATATCTACTTACCAATTTAAACCATAGAAAAGAAAACAACGAAAAACCAAACGTAACAACACTAAAATTAAGTTCAAATTACTTTGGGTAGCTGTCCCATCCAGGCGGGAAAGGCGTGCAGTATACTATGGTGACGTTAGGCCTTAATCGGAGAGTGACTGTGTTTGAGAACAGAGCCGCTGGCGCCGCAAAGATAAGTGCCGCTGCCCATATGAATGTTGCGCAAACCAAAGGAAGTTTCCGAAGCTGAAACAAAGTTTCGAGTTAGTAAAGTACTATAAACTATTAAAGGACTAAGTAGTTAGTGGATAGTTACTCATGTTTAGTGTGTTTATCCACACTTGTGGTGACATGATCTTTGTGTAGTTGAGGTGGTGTTTAGACAGTAATTAGGGTCGGGTTTGATGTTCGGTTAAATAAATATGAGGCTGAGTCGTTCATAAAGTAGGTTGGTAACGTCCTAGGTTGCCAGAGTTGCTTTTCATAATAGACAAAGGATGTTCCATCGTGTTTATCGATTTTTGAATTATCAGTAAGGCTTGGCTTATAACACAAGGTGTGTCTAACATTTAACCCTTTGAGTACCGTCATTATAGCCACAAATAAAGAACAATAGGTTGCGGTCACCGGTGTCCTCGCGGTGTTTGACAGTTTAAGTAATAATTAAACAAATAAGTCATATCAAATAAAAACAAATACATAAAACTTCATCTCTATATTAAAACTTTCGTGAGACGTACTAATCAATTATTATGTTTTCCGCTTACTCTCGTAACTGTTTGACGAGGACTCGACTAGTTTCAAGCCATGATAAGGGCTCATATTTATGAGCAGCAACCGCGACCCGCGGATGAAACTAGTCAAGTTCCTCGTCAACGTGAGTAAGCTGAAAACATAATAATTAAATGTCATCTCTCTCTATAGGTATCACAATGTCCTAAAACTCATAAGTCATGTTTTAACTCTTGCATCAGACAGTGTTGGGGGTTTATAAGGATTTTTGAATTAAAATATCTTCCAACAATTTAAGAACTATATTTCGATAGCACAGACAGAATAGTACCTATTAAAAAAGTAAGTACATGGCGGTATTCGCAAAAAAAGAGAAACATTTAAATTACTAACAGCTATCAGTTAACTTAGTGAAATACATTGCTATGCATTTGTGCGTAGGCTCACGAAACAGACAGACCGATTAGAAATTAATCAAGTTTGTCTCATCTATAAGCTGGTCTAACAAAAGTTTTCCCTGCAGACCAACTTTTTCTTATCTAGGTATTTGAAGGCATAAAGAAAGTAATAAATCTCAACTTAGTATTGACTGTCTGATATTTGGTTTCTAATTCATATTTGCGTTATCTTAGCCTAACAAATCATAAGTCTTTGCTAGCACAAATATTTCTTTTGTAAGCACTTAAACAAATAAATTGTATCTGTATTCTGTGAGGTAAGTTTAAGCACTTATTCCACCAAAAATATTATCCGATCAGAAAATTTCGCTCACCAAATAAAACAGAAATCTTTTCAACCCTATTTCAGAATGCGCTCACCCGAAACTGCCCGGAAAGACCCACCTGTCTCAAACCGATCCTTCAACCGTCTAAAATCCATCGTTTTGAACAAAATACATCTTTTTCCAATAAAACAATGTTATAAAAATCCAATTTACCCACCTGTAACCTTCTAAAAGGATTTACTATGGCGCAGTAGCGCTCAGCTGATAAAGCTGTCAGTGTGAAGACTGATACGCCAATGCTGACATCTTTTCCAGCTTCGGATATCCTGCAGATCACTTCTCCCCACGGCCAGGACTCCAGGGTGTAAATAATTGATACGAATGGCACGCATATGAGGATCACCAGGAGATCTGCTAATGCCAGCGAGAATATGTACCTGTAGGATGAAAGACAGGTTAAAGATGACGGAGACCAGAATAATGTTTAGTTACAAGTCTCTATCGGGAAGATAGCTAGGAGATTGAATGAATTGTACAGGATTGAACCTAAGGAATAAATAACTGATTCATTATTATAATAATAACGAATAATTTTAGTAGAAAAGTTTTAATATCGAGGTGGAAGTTCTTCACTTATCAATTTTTGAACCAAGTCTTAGATCGCTAACTACTATAAATGAATTCCAAGATGCGATGAAAGAATTCGATAATTTCATTAGTTTTAGACATTATAGTTGAACTTTACTTGACATAAGTACGCAATGAAGAAATTCTTTCAACACAATGCTTTATCAAAGAGAAAGTTAGACTCGGGGTAAAGTTTTATGATAGGGGAAGAATTATGAGGGTTAATTTCACATTCGATGGGGAAATGTAACAAATGGAAGCGAATAGAAGAAAGCACGGAACTTCGTTAGTTATCGAACTGGTTCGTTAGATAGAAAGGTTCATCTCAACTTTGGAAATGCAACGAAGTCTGAAAAAGAATTTCTGCTTTGATGAACTATTATAAGTGAAGATGGTGAAGATTTATAAGACATAATAAAAAATTATGACTTAAATTAATTAATATATGTTTTGATTTAGAAAGAAAAAAACGCATATTAGGATGAAACTAAGGTTTGTGTAAAACCTAAATACCCTTCCCCAATTTCCCAATCCCCGAATCCCCAACTATCCTCAAATTCCTAATCAGCGAAAAGCCGGTAAAGCATTCACAACACCTCTAGTTTCGGGGGTTCATGTGCGACGCCGATTGCTTACCATTAGGTGATTCGTCTGCTCATTTATCCGTGTGATCCATAAAAAAATGTGTTACTCAAAAAGTTTGTCAAAGCACCTATTAATTCAATGTACGTACATACATACACACAAAATATAGACCTGTACAAGAAAAATACACCAACTATAATAATAGTGGATTGTATTAAAAATAGCCCTAGGTATTTACCACCAGCAATCATTTAGTAATGAATTAACGAATGTGGAAGGCAGAAAGGCGGATGCAACCAATACAAAATAAAAACTTACGTGTTTGGGGCATTTCTCATCCCCCTGTGTCTGACATACACAATAACCAGGGTCCCATTGCCAAGGACTCCCACTATGAAGATGATGGCAAATAGGATGGGTACCAGGTACGTTTCCAGCCGTTCTTCATAAGGAGTGTAGTCACTTTCTGTCTGGTTGTCATCTGGGCTGTAGATTAGCACAGAGGCGTTTGGCTGTGCGGTGAACATTATCGATCTGTGGAAGAAGATAAGGAGATTTTAGTTATAGGGATATTTAAAAATTGTTTAAGCTTATATTTTGGTTTAATCTGGTTATACGCTTAAAAGACGATACAATACAAATTCTACGGGACAAACACACTATTAAATAAAAAATCCTGTGAACAATACAGTAATTCTATATCTTATTATCTATATATAAATAAAAATTAAATTCCATTCGTTAGTCTCGCTAAAACCCGAGAATAGCCGAACCGATTTGACAAAAAGTCTTGAAATGTTTGTGAAAGTCCAGGGAAGAAGAAGAATTTGTTAGGTCAGCTATTATTTAATATTTCGAATTACATTAGCATTGATTGACTGTTGCTAAGTTTATAAATAAACGTTATAGTTCCAATCCGATTGAAACCCCGTTAAAAGCTCTCGACACTCAATCTTTTGTCCAGTCGACCACAAAACACAATATTATTGTGTATTTAAACTTCAAGCCTATCAAATTTCATTCATAAAACGATATTCTAATAAATTCTAACAATATAAACTCAGCTTCCTCATACAAAATATAACAATCTTAATTGTATAATGGCATGTACAAAGGAAAGTTTAACTTTTAATTGAATCTTCTACGGACGAACTAGGGCGGTGAAATGTAATGAGTAATATAATATACATACTAATATTATAATTGCCAAAATGAGTGTGTCTGTTTATTTGTTCGTCTTTAACGGCAAAACGGAACGACGGATTGACGTGATTTTTGAAGTGAAGGTAGTTGAAGAAATGGACAGTGACATAGGCTAGTTTTTTATCTCTTTCTAAAAACTCACTTGCCTAAAATAGGGGTTGGAAGTATGTATAAAGTATAATTACACATTTTTAAAGGTCGAAAGCTATTAGATGCGGACTATTTTTGAGTAGTAAAAAATTGTGCATCATTTTTTTGCTTGTCTGCCACCAACCCCTTAAATAGTGTATGCGACGCCGCGGGTACAAAGATAGTATAATATAAAAATATTATAATGTTCAACTTTTGTATACTAGAGCTCTCAGGAATGTAATTAATTATTATACAGACAGTGTTTGATCTGTTTATTTTTTCTTGTTCCAATTAAAGTTCTTGTTATTTTTGACATTTACGTAATACATTTATATTATTTTGATGTTCCTTTTTTAGATGTTGTTGTATTTATCTATTTTATGTTCTTCATGTTCAAAAATGTCTTATTAAGTTTTCGTGTATCTATTACGTCGGTTTCTTTCGTAATAATTATCTTTTGTTACAAAACTAAGTCAAACAACGGCAGTATGACTGCTGAGTAGCAGATTTCCCTTTCTATTCACCCAAAACATTCTCAATCTAAAATCGCCTACACTCTTGCTTTTAAAACAGTCTGTATAATTTCATATCGATAACGTAATTTCCCTCATACGCAGACCTCACATTCAATTGGAAATTTAAATTCCATTGACCCAGAAAGCCGAAAATTCATGCAGATAGAACCCTCAACCACTTTGGAACGTACCGTCGACCAAAAAAGGTCAAACGTCTTTGACATATTAGGTGGCCAATTTGCAGCTAAAGTAGTATTATGTTTAGGTTTATTTTTAGCCACTGGATACAAAACTGTTATAATCATTACTTACAAAAATACCACCTATATTTTTAATAATGATAAGTATTAATATATTAAGGATTTCGAAATCAAAAATCCAATTTATACTATATTCGGAAACTAAACTCACTATTTATAAAAATATATTTTTGAACCATAAAAATGTCTCTGTATATTTCTATTTTTACTCTATAGAATATTCACAGCTTTACGTCATCAATAGATAAGTAAGATCTTGAGAAGGGTCTCCCAGTGTGACATGGCATTGGATCAAATTCCTTATACATAGCAAAAACATGAACGTTTACTGTTTTTGTCGTAGAGTGCGTTGGTTGACGACTTTGGTTTGATGTGTGGGAGGATCGATTTACTTCCAGATTCACTTATAGCAACGTAATTCCTCTTTAAGATAACTGACTACATATCATCAGCCTTTACGAAGGCCTTACTACATTATCATCAGGGTTTAAATTTAGTTAGCAAAATGTTTATAAAATAATCAATATCATACCATTAGATGATGCCATTTGTTAAATGGCATTGACAAATTATTTAATAGACTTCGTGCACGAGTAACATGAAATATGCTGTGGCTGTGAAAACAACAGACTGAGAAATTGAGTTATTCCAAAATTACACTTCAGTTTCATTGCACTAAAGTTACCTATATTTTGCAGTCGTAATAATCAGACTAGTCATAATAATCATGAGCTGCGGTCTCCAAACAGCTCAAGCCAAAACCTTAATTAAACCAAAAATAGCAACAACACACTAAATGTCTAGACGAAATACCATTGTGCATTTAAATTGAGTCACACAGCATTAAGTTGGTTGCACACAGTTGGACTCAAGTATGAGCCCTGTGGCACTCCTAACATTTACTGTAGCGCCGTACCATTGTTTACGTAAATCAGTTTAACAAACGTTGCGGATTCATTAAACAAGCTCCTACTGTGTATTCTCGACTGAATATATGAACATTCTCGAAGCAAAGCAGCGAGCTTTCATGAAAAATGTGAAAGCGAACCTATTCAAAAGCTCGAGAAAGTTTTTAATGAGAGTAAGTAACTGAACTTTAGTGAAAAGGTTCACAGGTAACGCAAGCTGACTGGACGGGTCGTTTTTATGGAAAGGTAAGTGAAAAAAGTTTAGTGTAAACTTTGTTTTATGTTAAGTGAGTTTTCTACTTCTATTTTTCAAAGTTAACCTGACGAACACGAAGTTTCGTATAGTCGATGCAATAGTAAAAGTTTATTATGAATTTTAATGGCTTTTTATCTAGTTTAACTAGTGTCTGAAAGATTTTTTCGCGGGTTAAAAATAAGAAAAATCTTTTGATTGTGGGAAAAAGTATTTTTACATGAATTTGGCTTTTAGGTGATGCTTCGATTTTTTTGACAAAGGCTTGTCATCACAGCTCCCGCACAATAGGTCGTATAAATACATATTTTCACACACTACCCTTAACAACTAAGGTCAAGTAAAAATATATAGCGACGAAAAACCGGGAGCCGCTCATCCATCAAACATGAGTTGAATTCAAACCCACGCGACAACGCTCACGATACCAATATCACAGGAATAATAAAAAATGCGCCAAAAATATTGGTACCAAAAAGTTCCTCGTTCATATATCTGGCATACCCGTACTATTGAGGCTCCATCATCTGTTATATTTAGGTACTACTCTGTATCTATTGACTGGGGCGTAATCCTTAAAACCTAGTTCTCCTTTGCTCATATGATGTATTGATGTACTTCAGAATGCCTACGTTCTTATTTAGTGTTAGAAGTTTTCCTATAATTTGTAGGTTATAATGTGGCTGAAAATGTGAAGGTCGTTATACCGGTATGTAGAATCCGTAGATAAAAATATATTTCGTTTTTTAGTGTATACAACAACACCTAAGTTTTTTGAATGGTATAAATTAATCTGATCTAAAGTGGAGACTTTATACTATGGAGATAACAAAGAAAAATTCTATAGTAAGATTGATTTACAAACACTAATATGAAAAGGATATTGTCACCTCTATCCCATAGGTCTACTAATGTAACTGCTGATAACGGACGTTACTATATATTATTTTACTTCCATTTTGAGGATTAAAAGGAGCGATGTTATGTTTTTATATGAAAAGGAAGATAAAATAAAAAAATAAGCAAACAAAAGCAATGAAAAAGCATGTATTAGACTAAAGATAAGTCATTTGTTCAAACAACGACGCCCATGAAAGGTAATTGATAAACTTTTGTCGATATTCCCTCCAGGAAGGTTTCAAATCATTACACGTAATTTGAAGTTGGCTTTGTTAAGGCTTCTGAGCAAAATCGTGATTAATTTTGAAAAAATCTTCTGTAAGAAATCTTTATTGCTATTATTCTGCTCAGGGTGCAATGACTTTTTTTAAGGGGGGGGAAATCATCCAATTACTTTTCCCACCTGGGTAAGGCGGGAAGTAGTGTCAGACTCTTACTAACTAAAAACCACCCCAGTCCTACTCTTGCGCTTGGACCTGGAGCCCCAGCAACCCGTTAAGTCTTCCACGGCTCCGTATCGGCATCAGCCCTGTTGGGCCCCATCTGTGGTGGTCTGATGGCTCCTTGAGACGCCGCACGCCAGGGGTGCAATGCCTAAAGGTTTTATATCAGTGCAATTCTAGGTATATTTTATAAAAAGACAGATGTGAATCTTCTTTCAGGATTTTATTGATAAATCACACAATACTGCTTCTTATCAAAAGTTTGTCAGTTTATGTGTACCTATGTTTGTTGGTCAATAACGGCAAAATGGCTGAAGTAATCAGGATGAAATTAAGAAAAGCCGTAGATTGTGATCTAAAAAACATATAAGCTTTATAGGCCACGAAAATTTGGACGAAGCAACTAGTAGAAGCTGATACAAAAATAAAAATATACCATTTTCTATTTGTTCTAGAAACCAGCTAACGCAAATGTATCAGGCGACTAGTTGGCGCGTCTTCCAATAAATACTTTCCGCCATTTTGTCACGTATCAGTGACGTCATATCACCACCCACCTGTATGACGGAAGCAGTCCTGACCTTTGCCACTGCTATAAGCGTAGGAGTGTAGTATACAGACAATAGCCCATAAAGCTGCTGTAATCTTTCATCGATTCAATGTCAACTTTTATTTTCATCGGTATCAAGTCTCACCCAATTATTAAAGGATATTAGTAAGAGGTTCCCAAGTTGTTATTTAAAGAAAAAATGTTTACTTGAGTTTACTAACACCCATAAAGTGACCAGACGATCTAATAACAGTCCTATGTAAATTAAATTTAGATTTAAAAATCATTGGCGCTTTCAAGAATAATAAATATGATACTGCTTATAAATACAAGTCCCTAGCTTGGCTTGATACGAATAAAGTTCCTCGTCA